TACCAGTTTGGATATTTCTAGGACACGTTGTGGGTGCCTTCCATGGATGGCACCGCGACGTGGTACAGATGGTTCCTTTAGGATTTTAAAGAGGTCACCTCCTTTAGGGAGGCGGGAGGACGACGTGAGTCACAGATGAGACAGCAACACTACAAATCCCGCACTATGGACTTCAAGTACCGTGGTCGGGGGAGATACCCACAGTTTGCCCTCATAGTCGTCAGAGAAAGTACAATTATAGATAACAATAGATAAGAGTTTTTATCTCTTTTTTTTTGTGATTTCGTCATTCGAGTATAAAAGAAAATGTTGCAATTTGCAATTTCAGACCCGTCCCTTAGACCTCAGTTTTTAGCGAGGGGCTCACAATTATCATTATCCTACAAACAACTGCATGCATGAATGCAACAGCGCAACTTCTACAGAGTCTTTGAAAGAAAAACAATCTCGTGAATCCTGTCTGGCTTCGGATAGGACCTCTCACAATTTGCGATGTGGCCGCCTTGTATCCCCCCTCCCCCCACATACGTCCCCTCAGATGTTCGTCACTGGCTGGCTTGCAGCTTGACGTACCAACACGGCCTTAAGCAGCGGCAACCTCGTCAAATGATCCGGCGGTCCAATTTGACTGTTCATTATTTTTCAGGGCAGGACCGAATAATTGAGTTGATAAAATGACCTTGATGCTCGTCCTGCCGGCTGGCGCTTGTAAAACAAAAAAAAAAGAGGGCCATCTGTTTACAAAGTCAAGCAAAAGACCAGAAGGACTAAAAGACTTTGTCCCTTGTTCGTTGAGTGATGTGTCACAACAGCTTTAATACTCACTAAGAGACTTTGGCCGGTTGCCTTTGACATTTTGAGTTCACAGTTATTTTTGATGTGTCATGTATAAATCAATATGTATAAAGCTCTTATGGGAGTTATTTATAACTCCATTTCAAATGTTATGAATAGTCGAACTTACGCTGATCAGTAGAACGGAATCTAATCGTGGGAGATGTACAAAGACTCGGCCTTTCCTTTCCACTTATCTGCCGCCACTAATATTCCCAATTTTTTTTCACCTTTTACTGTTTGACCTGCTTGAACGGTGTCAGATTGAGGACCAGTTTTGGCACCATCAGGGGCTTCTTATCCACAAATCCCTGAGAGTCAGCCACGTGTTTGATCCTGCGCCTCCCGTGTGGCCGACGCGCCCGTCGAGATGCACTTGTCTTTAAAGGCCACAGCTGACTGGAGAGCCGCTTGCTTAATGCATGACTCTGAAGGTCACCGGCCATCATGTCACCTGAGTCCCTGCGCTCTGGCGGCTTATTGAGAATGGATCAGCCGGCACATCCATCAGGGAGGGCCACTAGCTACTAGCTGCTTGCTTTAACTCTGCGTGCATATATATTTGTCGGATCAAGACACATTAGCCGTCATTTAAAAACAAAAACAAAACAAAAACTGCCATGTAGCGAAGTGACGAACCTTGAACCACAATTCAGTGGGAGTTGACTGTATGATCCTTAAATAGGTTTTTAAATCATTTGAGTGATACACTAACTTGTAAACCATATGGTAATATTCTGTCTCTGTCGATCTAATGGCAATTCCTGATCACTGACTGCACAGGTGTCAAAGTGAAGGCCCGGGGGCCCAGATCTGGCCCACCACATTATTTTATGTGGCCCGCAAAGGCAATTCAAGCATATCAACTTCCATGAGCTTGCTAAAGTCTGAACCAACATTTCAATTTGTCATATGCAATATCATAATTACAATGTTTGAACAATCCATTATTCTTGACTTCTGATGCCAAAACTAGTTATCCATCTATTTGTTGTTTGCTGTGTATGTAATATGCGGAGGTGGTTAAACAGTTACATGGTTTCACAAAATTCACAGTCACAACGGCCCTCCAAGAGAAACCGTAACTACATTGTGGCCCGTGACAAAAACCGAGTTTGACACCCCTGACCTACTGGTTCATCATATTGGTAGGGCAGTTAAGGCACTGTGCTTTTATTAGCAGAAATTGTTTTGGCTGTTCGCTTCTTGTCCAGTTTTTACTTCTATTTCCCAAGCTTGATATTAGACATTCAATTGTCTGATTTTAACCCCCCACCCCTTAAAAAAAACATGCAATATTCTTGAGCAGGAGAGTTATTTATCCTTCCAATTACTGGTCTAAATTTAGACATATTTTCTGTATTTACTACTCAAGAGATCACTGTTAGCATATGAGGTTGATTTCTGGTGTTGTCGAAACATTAATGAGAGAGTTAATGCTTCTTAATCTAATTTCAGCGTCACTTTTTTTTTTCCCCCAGCACATCGATAAGAATTGATGTGGAACACTTAAAAAAAAAAAAAAAAAAAAAAAAAAAGGCCCATCGCCCCAGGCCCCG